GCCGGCGCCGCGTTGAGGCCCCAAACTGCGGTGTGTTCCTAGTTTTTTTTGGAACGACAAGGGTAGTGTCCTAAGTTGTTGAATAAAAAAATAATTAAGCACAGTGTGTTTTGGGAAGTTGGTAAAAGCTGCTTTTGACTTTTTACCAAGTTTATTGGCCTTTTTGGAAGTGATTCGCGGAAGTTGGTAAAAAGCTGCGCTTTTTGCTTTTTAGTTTAATATTTATTTATGGTGTCAATCAAACTAAATGACCAAAATGCCCTTACCCAACATAAGAGAGTTATTTGTTTATTTTTATTTTTTTTTTTTTTTTTCCACTTTTAGGGGGCCTTTAATTTTTTTCGGGTTAAATTTTTTTAAGGAGGGGGGGGGCTTGCGTTTTTAGCACTTTGCCCAAATGCGCTTTTTTTGCCTTTTTGACAGCCACGTTGTTTGGACATTTTGCCCAAAAACGGGCTTTTTACCATGTTCCCAAAATGGCCACACAGATCGACAATCGCCACGTATGCAGATCATTGCATATCAGGAGCTCACCAAGTCCATACATACAAAAATGACTATAGCTATGACGGCCCGTTCGTCGCTGTCACCCATACAGTCATCATCACTCTCGTTGTTGTGGTTGGCAAGGCTGAGTCGAAGCAAAGATAGGGTAGGGCTTGGTTTGAGGAAATGAGATGTCTTCGTCGAAGAAGATCACGCTGAAGAGCTCCGACGGAGAGGCGTTCGAAGTGGAGGAGTCGGTGGCGCTGGAATCGCAGACGATCAAGCACATGATCGAGGACGATTGCGCCCACAGCGTCATTCCTCTCCCCAACGTCACCAGCAAGATCCTCGCTAAGGTCATCGAGTACTGCAAAAAGCACGTCCAGATCTCCAAGACCCAAGATCGATCTGCCGAGGACGACCTCAAGACCTGGGACTCTGACTTCGTCAAAGTCGATCAGCCCACTCTCTTCGACCTCATTCTGGTTAATCTCTCTCTCTCTCTCTCTCCCCTTTTACCTCTTTTTTTTTTGGGGATAAATTAGGGTTTTGATTAGTCTCAATTGTTCTGTTTTGGTGCTTTTGTTTGATAATTTAAATTAGTGATCCTTTATGCTCTCGGAGAATTGAAATTTCGCATTAGGGCTCGATGTGTCACTTGTTGTTTGTGTTTTTTGTACGATTCTCGTTTGTCAAATTCGCTAGGGTTTTCCTTAATTCTCTGATGGTCTTGTTCAGGATTTGGAGTTATGTTTGCTGGTGTTATTATTGAGCAAAACTTGTATAGTTATGAGGTTAGGGGACTTCTCATGCCTTTTATGTGAAACGAACCCTTTTTAAGGTTATTTTGAGTTTTTCCGTACTAGTGTACTGAAATCCTTATTTTTATACACTGGTTTATAATTTTTTGAAAGAAACCCTTATTTTCGTTCTTGTGCAAATTGGGAACTTATTAAGCTACAGAGAATTTTACCTTTATAAATTAACTAGTTATTCAATTGCTTGCGAGGAACGGTGTTCTGCAAACTCATGCTGTTGTTGCTGAACTGTTTTTTGTGAACCAATCCTTGCCGATGTGGATTGCCTGGTTGAAATGGTGAAAAGGATCATCAGTGGCCCACTATAAAGCTTTTTATATATTAAATATTTATACTAGTAAATAGTTATAGAACTTGCTTGGTGTGAACCAAAAAGTGAAGAAGTATTTGCTTGTTTTCATTTTTCAAAAAATTCTACTTTCTTATTTTTTGTGTTTTTTTATTTTTACTGAATTTTTTTTTTAATATTTTAAGTAATTTTTTTACTTTTTAAACACATCTAACATAAATACACCTAAAAAGTAAAAAAATTGCAAAAAAAATCTTTTAAAAATTCACTAAATACTAAAAATATAAGAATTCAGTACATTTTTTGTATTTTTATGTATTTATTAATTTTTTAAAATATTTTTTCACAAATTTTATACTTTTTAGATACATCTAACTAAGGTGCATCTAAAAAAGTAAAAAAAATGTTTAAAATTTAAAAAATATTCACTAAAAACAAAAGAATACGAAAACTAAAAAATTTAATCCAGAAAACTCAAACCAAACACACCGATTGTGTTTTTCCTAATTGTAAATTTGCTTTGACAAACTGCATCAGTTTTTGATTAATTGTATCAGTTTTTAATCCTTCAACCCCTATAAAAGCGTTTTTATTGATGTTGTGCATAAAAATTATATAGAGGTGAAGTATGGGGAGAGTAGCAAGAGCTTTACATCTCTTATAGATCCTTTGTTTGTTGCTTAGTTGCACAAACTGGGAGCAGTGGGGGCAGGGTGGGAGGGAGGGAAGTTGCTTTGCTCTTGACTAGTACGTGGTAGTTTTTTTGGCTTGATAGTGACAGAACATGTGCTAATTTCAAGTTGCTTTGATCTTTGTCCATCAAATGTGATTTATTTGAGTTGAGCCCAAAATTTCTGCATATTTGTTTTTACACTTTCTCATGTGGTAATTATGGTATTTTTTTTAAACACCAATATTAGGCCACAAGTTATTGAATTAATGTTAGATTGTTATCAGTAACTTGCATTATCCAGCTTCCACTATAACAAAAGCAATGGAGTTTCTGTGAATTGAATTTCTAGTTCATAATATACACTGTTGGCCCGTTTGGGAATTTGGTTATTTTAGTTGGCTTTTTGGCTATTTTGTGAGATGGAAAAAAATCGTGTTTGGGATGATTTGGCTATTTTAGTTGTAGTTGAATAGATGGTTGTGAGAGAAAAAAATGATTGATTGATGGGTAAGATGTGACATATTGGTTATTTTATTTTGTGTTTTGTGTGTGTGTGTGTGTGTGTCTATTAGAGTCAAAAAAACCAAAAAAGCAACATCCCAAACAGGGCCTGTATTTCACGAACCACGGCCTGTAAGGTCTTTGCATCTGGTATTGTGCCATGAGCTGAT